CCCTTCAGACAGGCCATGAAAAACGGAAATGTTCCGGACTCTGTCCGTAAGACCTTTGTGTCTGAATACAAACATCCGGATAACGTTTTCCGTAATTTAACCAGACGAAGCCCCTAGTAGCAGGGCCGGACTTGTTACGGACAAGGTGGCTGCTTCAGACTGGTGAGGTCGAGTTCCGGACAGGGAGGAGGGGGAGGAGGAGGGGACCGGGGGACGCTGTGCGCACCTAGATAGCCCGCTCCTGTAGCATGCGGCGAACCATGGCAGCTCGCCTCCTACGGTACCGTTTAGACGCGCGACGGAGCGCTTCACACCGCTTCCATGATTCCTTTTAACCATTGAGCTTCATCATCCTGGTCTCTTATGCGATTTCGTGTGCGCAGAATTATGCTTAACATAAGTCCGAACAGTGAGAGGAATTCTATCTCTTCGTCTGCCATGTTTGACTGAATGGCTTTGTTTGAGTAAATGACGCATGTACGCCCGCCGCACTATGTCCCCCCCCACCCCCCCCCAACCCCCGACATCTGGAACTTTTCCCTGCTGTGTGAAGGCAGCCGAAAGGACAAGTTCCGGTACAAAAGTGGTGTGTCTGAAAACAGTTCCGGTTAAAAACCGGATTGAATTGTCCACACATATTCCAGAATGTCTATCTGAAAAGGGCTCTAGTGTGGCAGGGGGAGGGGAGGCAAAGATGTATAGCATCAAAGAAGTCCCAGGAGAAGGGAGGAGTCAAAGGCCCCACCTGACTATGGGGCTTTATATACAGTCATACACAAACTCAGTCACACACTCTCTCCCTCATGCTCACACATACACATGCAGTCTAAGACTTACAAAAATGCACGCCAGACACCCATTCATGCTCTCCATACACACCCTATTCACTCAGGGCCCGGTACTGTTGCACAAAGGGTACAACCATCATCGGTTCCCAGAGTTCGATCCTTTCTGCTGGGGTGCTGATGAGCAGCCCCCCCACCCCCCCACCCCCGCCCAACGCTGAGCAATTTCTGACACCCTTGAACTGTGGCATAAATATTTGACTCTAAAGCTGCTCTGAGACATTAAAGGGGCATTATGGAAGTTTGACAGCCAAGACATGTATAGAAATAATAAATTTCTTCTTCATACATTCTCCTGCAATGCCCTGGTCCTGTAGAATGAGCCCTGGCATTTTTACTGTGATTGCCAGTTTTTCTGAAAAATCACAGAAAAAGAGAGCTGCTCGGGTCGAGCAGGCTGCTTCATGCGCATTCACGCTCAGGCATCGCCCGTAGCATTTGCTATCAGTAGCTTTAGCAGCAGAGAGTGAGGCAGTGCCAACTCAGCGACTTTGTCACTGTTCCTAATGCCAAGTGATGAACCTAGCTGCATTTCTGAGGACCCTTAGCTACTTTCTTGTAGATATTTCCTGCAAATTAGCAACAAAATAGCCATTTTCGCTCCGAACCGTTCTTTGAACGTTGTTTCAGCTTTCATCAAGGATATAAATGTTACAGATACAAATGTCGTCACTGGTCGTTTAGCTCACCTAGAAAAACGGCGGACTCTCATGCAGAAGACCCGGTAGTAGTTTAGTTAGTTAATTTTTTACACTAATGGTATATTTTTTTTACAGTAAGATGCCCACATTTTTATTTGAGACTCGCCGAACGGCATTGAATTCACAGATAAAAAAGATGTGGGTTCAACTTTCATTTTGGAACAATTTTTCAAGCAAGGGAAGGGAATGATCTGAGCATGCAGGAGGACTGACCCATCATAAACCTTTGTCGGCTGTGCTGAAGAGAAAGGTACAGAACCAAATTATTTAATTAATTAGCTGCGCGTTCTCCTGTCCTCTGTCCTCCGGGCCACACGGGATTGTCTCAGCTGTTATTTTCGTTAAGGAGTGTGCACGTACAGCATGCGTGCCTCGTGCACGAGCCTACTATTGAAGCTGCCGATACGCTTTTGGCCTGAGGGGGCAATTGCGAGCATAAAAATTCAAAACTCCGTCAAGTCCCTTTAAACACTCATATATGAACCCATTATGTATTTTATTATTACATTACGTGTCCTATAGGTTTTCAGTACTTTTTCAGATTTTGTGAGTTTTTGCAAAGCGTGTTTTTCTCAGCCTGAGGTGTGGCTGTTGAACGAGGAAACAGATTGTTTTACTTTGTTAAATTTTCTTAAATGTTTAAAATGTTTTGTCCTGACCTGTTGTAAATTGAGAGCTTTTGAGGGGTAGTAGTTTGTGTCAATTATGTTCTTGTTAAAAAAATAAAAATAAAAAGCTGACATCTTCTATTTATCGATGAAAACAAATCAATATGAAATAATCGTGGCGCATTGGGATATTGAATCAAATTGAATCGTTGACCCAATAATCGTAATCGAATCGAAAGACAAGTGAAGATTCACACCTCTAGTCAGGACCCAGCCCCCAAGGCCCCGCCCAGATCCCCACACGGGGCCGACCACCCCCACACCCCGAGCCCCCAGGCACCCACCCAGACCTTCTGCAACAAAGTTATTGTTGCAGAAGTGCAGCAGCATCTCTTCCAAGGAGGAAATTCCGCCTGCCAAAAGTGAAGCCAACACAGAAGTGATAAAAATTGAAGCTCCCTCCTCATCCACTAGGGGCTGGCTCCAAAACGAAGCTGACCCCCATGTTTAAAACGCCAACGTCACAGCAGAAACAGGTTTACAGCCTGGTTCAAAAAATATTTCAGGATTATTAGGTCATGTTTACAATCATGACAACCCTGAGCGGTGATTTTTGTGTAACTTTTTTGTTTAGAAGAACAAAAACTAAATCTTGCATAAATGTTACCTAAAATGTCAAATACCGCAACCTAAAAACTACACAAGGGAAACCTATTTTCAGAAAAGACAATGAAACTTAGCTGTTTTTACATTTTTGAGCGCATTCCTCTGAAGAAGTGAATCACACTCAGCAACAGACAGCAGCCATGTAGGGGAAAATGCGGCTTAAAGAAAAACAGAAAACTTTTGAGTGTAAAGTCATTAAATAAACTTATGAGTGAATTACAGTTACACAAAAGACATTTTTGTTAAAACTACTAAGGCTCCTGGGGACAGAGGTAGCTGGGGAAATTCTAAAGCTCTGAGATAGCTCTGAGTCAGATTTGTTTTTTACTTCACACTAAATGTCTGCAGAGTTGCTGCCTAAGAGGAACAACTTTATTATAAGATGTTACAATAAAGTGTCTGAGTTTTATGCTAAACACATCTTAGCTAGAGTTGAAATGTAAAATGAATCCTAATGACTAAGCTACATTTTTTTGTCCAGAGAGAGACGGCTCTGATTTGTTGATGCTTAAATGACAGAAATCCATTGGATTATCTAACAGTTGTGTTTTGAAATTTAGATGAGATGTTATGCATTAAAGGTTGAACTGATCAATTACAAAAACAGTGATTTAAGTGATAAAATACAGGAAGGTGAAACAGGGACCAACAATTTGTCCGTGCTAACTGAAGCCATTGTTACTTTACTCACCAGTGTCCAGGGAACAAAATAAATTCCTGGGAACAAATTTTTACAAAGTTATCATTTGTCCCGACTGGGCTGACTCCTCCTAGCATCAGGATACCTCTGGATGCTACGAGGAACTTTAATAATCAGTAAGGATACGCCTGTAAATTCAAATAAACAACTTTGTAGCTTTAGCTGCTGTCCCCAGTAGCATCTATTATTAGTCTCTGCATGTTATGCACTTGTTAAATTGCATCAAGTAAGCTTTGATAGTTTGTTGTTATCTGTTATGAATGTTGCTCTTGCTGTGGCTTTTTTATAAAAAATTTCTAACAAAAAAAAAGGGGGGGGGGTAGATTATTGGTAAAACTACATAAAATACTACCTTGCAGCTAAATGATTGTCTCTATTCTTTTTGTTTCCACCTTGATTTTAAATAGCTAATAAAGCTTCACGGCCCTGTATTCTTGATATATTGCTGTGCAATTTTATGACAATATACTCTGAATTGTTCACAGTGTGATAAAAAATATGAAGACCAGGGATAAATTATGGGTTAGGCTGCAATAATCTGCTGTGCAGGTTGATGTAATGAAAATATCCATTGTCGGGTTCTTGAGGCACTCCGTTCTGAATGTCATTCATGCAGACTCGTTCAGCCATTGATTTCTCTCTTCAAACGCTTCTCCATTCAGTCGCTCTTCCCTAATGTGGAGGTCTCTTGGTGTGCATTAGACCACGGACGAGTCATAAAAATTTGCTCCTAAGAACAGACCTGATCCATTGACTGTGCAACCTTGAAACCTGTGCAGGAACACACACCTACACACACTCTGTTGACCACTGCCTTAAAGGTAGTGGTCATGCTTGAAAAGACGTGGATTTCATTTTCTCCACAGCTAAATGGAAACAACACGCTTCCCCACACACATTTCATTAAAGTGCCTTGGTAAGCTTAGTTTGGCACAGTGTGAGTCAGGAGTTACAGAACCTGACTGAGACCCAACATGGACTCAAACACACACACACACGCACACATACACTATAAAACTCTAAAAAGATGAGCTGACAGAGATGAACTATTTGCCGTTAGATTAAAGCACTCTGAATAGAAGATCAGTCGAATGTGTGTGTATCTGTGTGTGCTGCGGGCCAGATCTATCCTTTTTTTTTTTTCATTGACTTTTACAAACTTTTATTCTCATTTGAGAACAAAAAGGCCTAAATGTATTCCTCCCAGCCTGGCATTCAGTCCACCATAATCCCTTCATCTAATAAAGAATGGACCCAAAATCAGCCACGGGTTCTAAACATATTCCGCCGGATGCCTCTGGAATGACACCTGGGTCCAATTGGGCTGGAGAAACTGTCAGATATGAGCTCCGTCTGTGTGAATCAATCTGTGGTGTCTCAGGCAAGGCTGCAACCCTTGGGGTTATTAAATTGGTTCCTTTGTGCCAGACAACTAAATCCATCACAAAAAAAACAGTTGGACGGAAGTTTTGGTGCCTACCTGCAGGTTGTGTCTTTCCAGTCTCATCTCCAGATTGTTATTCTGCTCCTCCAAACGCTGTCGCTCCTTCTCTAAATCTTCAATTTTCTGCCTGGAAAAAAAATAAATAAATAAATATCTAATTTAAAATCATATGCATGCAGCAGAAGAAAAATTGCTCCGCTCAGGCAGGTGTGGAGGTTTGGGATGGTTAATCCAGCATGAATTTTTCATGACCTCGGAGTTCAAAAAGTGGTTGTTGAAACAGAAAGAGTGAGCTTACTACCTAAGTATGTTGACTTCTTCTTTGGTGGCTGAAGAGCAGCTGTCTGCAGCAGAAACTTGCTCCTTCTTAGCAGTCTCCAGCTCCAGCTCCACCTGGAACAGAGAAAAAGTTACTTATCCTGGTGCGCCGACTCCCTAAACATTTTGGACGAACACACATCAACACAGATTAAGCACAACTTCTGCAAAGAATTAGTCCCTCTGACCTTTTTTTTTATAACATTCATTTGATTTTCCACAACACTTTCTCCGATCCAGCTCTCTTCTCTGCAATTAACTCTCATTTACATTTGTGAACAAATTTTCCCTTTCTTGAGAGCGACTGTCTGTCTTTCAGTAGGTCTTCTCTTCAAGTCCTCCCAAGACGAATAAGTAATTACTGCTATACCACACAGGTGGATTTCACGCCTCAGTCCTCATTGCCATGGCTGTGTTGATGTTACCTTAGCAACAAGGAGCCAAAAAATTTTACTAAGACGAGTAAAGACCCAAACAGTTACAGAGAATGAAACATCTTACCTGCTAGCTTAGTTTCAGCGTAATTTTGAAAGCACATTTTACTGTAAATGTGTTTCAGTAATTCCCAACTCAAGTGGATGAAAAAACATATAAATACAGTTCATGTTTCAACTCGCATTACAACACAGTCAGGGTAAGGGACTGAAAGTGTCAAATGGCCGAGGTGCTTTTTTAGGGAACAAGTAACTAAATATAACTAAACATAAATTAGAGAAATTCTATTCAAGTTACTTCTTTTAAATCAGGAAAATGTCTCATTTATTTACAAGAAGGATTAAAAAAGATTTAGCACCCTGCCACTAGGGAGCTTTTGGTTTGGCTTAAACTTAAAATAGTCTTGCGTAAAATAAAATATAAAAGTTAGAAATAATTTATATTTGGGCTGTCATTAACAACTATTTTCAAATTAAAAAACCAACAGACTAAAATACTGATAAATATAAACACTGATTTTCCTCCAATATCTTAAATTCTGTTTTATTTAAAGTCATTTTTCATTTTTAACACATAGCTTAGAGATTTATTGCACACACTGAAAACAATTTTTTCCCTTAAAATATAAACTGTGAAAAATGTTAAAGCAACATTCTGAAGGGACAATCTGGGCTTTCCTGCTAGGGCTGCTGCCCCTGTGATCCAGGCCCAGACAAGCTGATGAAGGTGAGTGGGAGAATAAAGCTCAAACAAGTCCAGCTCGACAAAACAAATAAAATTTAACTCTTGTTAACTCTCAAAGGCTGTGAACTTGAATTATGTCTACATGAAGCATGAGACTGAACTGGAAATGACCACAAATAGGGCAAATTTCTTTTTTGAGTCTATTACTGTATTTTCCAAACTATAAGTCACATTTTTTTTTTCGTAGTCTGGCTGGTCCTGTGACTTATATACCAAATTATGTATGCCGCTCTGCTGCAGGCCGGCTCCGGACCAGGAATGAGCTCCCCTGCCCCGCCATCACCTGCTGGAGGCCGTTGCGTGGTGCTGTGGGCCAGCTCCGGTCCAGGTTTCAGCTCCTCTGCCCCACTGGAAGGGTTTCAAACACTGCCAACACCTGCTGCAGTCTGTGGCGGGGTGCTGCGGGCGTTCTCCCCACCCGCTGGGAGTGTTTGAAACACCACCATCCTCTGCTGGAGACCGTGGCACGCTGCTGCGCCCTGGTTGTTTATTCTGTTATTGTTACCGGTACTTGTCTTGCAATGTGAAATGCTTGGTCTCAGAGTTTGTAAAAAAAAATAAATAAATTTCCCCCCAAAATGCGACTTATATATGTTTTTTTTCTTCTTCATTATACATTTTATGGCTGGTGCAACTTATACTCCAGAAAATACGGTATAGGACCTATAATAACCTGCATACATTCCTCTTACTTACTGTTTGTAGCTGTAGCTTGAGCACCCCCATTTCCTCCTGTGTTTTAGTTAGCTGGGCCTGAATTTAAGCAAAAATTTAAAATATAACAGATACATCAGAGGAAAGCTTGAAAAAGACCAAATACAAGGGAAACAGAGGAAGAGGATTATTTAATAACCAGCTCACACATAGATAACTAGTGTGTGTTAAAGTCAACTAAAGCTTAGCCAATAAAACCATACACACCTCCATATCCATGTTGTGGTTCTGTGTCCTTTGCAGAACCTCCTCCGCCTCTTTGAGTCGATTTGCGAGTTGAGGAGAGTATTCAGAGGGAGCAAGCTCACTGTCATAGGACTCCAGTATGGCCCTCATCCCATTTCGCTCCTGTAAAACAAGTGAAATATGGCATAATTAAATCATAAAGCATTTTTAAAATCCTTTCTGAACAAACATCTGTGCGGGACAAATTGGAGAAAGTCCAATTTAAAGCTCAGCTCTCTCAACTGTCAATAAGCATGCTTCTTCTTTCGGCTCTTGTAGAGTACAGATGCTTTTTTCCTCCTCTCCTCCCTATCTTATCCCCAGGGCTCTTTGTCTGTCTTTGGGTGTACGACGCTTCTGCATTTTTTCTGGAAACTGGAAATTATTAAAAATAGACCTGGTCAGCTGGCCTCTCAACCCGATTGACAACATTTTCTCAACGATGATAACGGGAGAAGGGGCTCCCGAATGCCCCTCTGGGACAGATCCAGTTGGGCATATCATGGACTCCTGGAAACAGTGGAACCTGATCTGCTTATCTCAACTGTCTGTAGAGGATTCTGAAGACGTATGGATATTTGTGGTGTTGGTGTCAGGTTTCCTACTTTTTGGCCTGGGAGGCTACCTGGCTTACCGGAAAATTAACGAGCTGTAAAGGAATATTGGCTCTTTCCTGGAGCTCGGGGATGATTACACCACGCTGTGAATGCACAGACTCATAATTGTCGAAAGAGTCGTAGGCTTGGAACTTTGACTGAGATTCAGGCTCTGGCAAAAAAGATGGATGCAATTAAGGAGCGAGTGGACGAATCAGCACGGATTGGGATAGATTAACTTACGCCATTATTGGATTTTGAGATGTTGAGGACCAACGGAACTTTAAGACAGAGAAGAAATTATCACTGTCTGGCCCCAAAACAAATTCTTCTCTGAATCTGGTGCCCTTGAGCCTGTGAGGCTGAAACAAATACTCCCCCTCAGAAGTAGGGATGGGTACCGAATTCGGTACTTTTTAAGGTACCGACCGAATTCCAGAGTACCGACCGAGCACCGATTCACGTCATTTCAAACGGTGCCTCGTTTCGGTACCCGTCCATCATAACGAGAACTTGCCAAGACAGCTGCGCATGCGCAAGAGCGTTTTGTCGTCGCTTGCTGTGAACCAGTTGTAAACAGAGCAGCATGGTAGAGAGAACGCAGGCTAAAGCTTGGGTCCACTTCACTAAATGTGATGGGTAACTGGATGATGAAACCAGCGACAACGATCTAAGTGAGACATCCTCATCTTAATCTGCTCCGGTACGTAAATATAATTAGCTTGATATGTTAGCTTCCATTTCGCTAATGGTGCGTTCGCTTTCTCCTCGGAACTCAGAATTTCCGACTAGAACAACATGAACGCGCTCTAAATTTTGGCTTCACTTTACTAAATGTGACGGGTGAAGACGAAACCAGTGACGATCTAAGTGTGAGGCATCGTTTTAATCTGCTCCAGCAGCTAAATAAACTGTTTAAGATATCGTTAGCTTGATATGTTAGCTTCCATTGCTACCATTGTTATCAGCTAATGGTGCGTTCGCTTTCTCCTCGGAAATTCTAACTTCCCAGTAGGAAAAATCAAATGAAAAAAGATGGCAAAAGGAATGAAGATTCACAGTAAATTTAGTTCACAGTAAAGATGTTTGCTTCAGTTTAATTATCAGCTTATAAAACTACAAGGGCAATGTTAAAATACAAACAGTTGTATGTTATTTATCGTGATATTTATGAAATATTGTTATATATTGAGAAAAATATATATTTAATTATAAAAGAGAATTAAAATAATAAACACTCAAAAGTATCGAAAATTGGTACCGTTAAGTACCGGTATCGATTTGTAGGTACCGGTAATTAGTACCGGATCGATTCAAATGTCAAAGGTACCCATCCCTACTCAGAAGAAATGTGGAATGCTGCCGTCGCCATGGCAACTCTGTCTCCCTATCCCAGGCTGGGCGGGACTGCGAGCTGTGAAGGCTGCTGAATCGTTCCAGGAGTCACTGTGCCCTCTAAACCCAATGACCACCTCCCCCTGTCCAGATGGGGGTGATGGGCGCTGCTTATTGCGGCTGCATGCACTGACGTGTGGAGAGTCCCAAACCCTACCACCCCACCTAGTGGACACTCATGCTGTGTTATGTCTGATGTCTGTTGCATTTCTGTCTGAGGTGTTTTTTGCATATCAAAGCTGCCCTCCCTGTGGAGGGTAACTCTGAAGTGCCTTTTTTCCTCCATCTGACTCAATCCTCATGTAAACCCCTCTGATCTCTATTAAGGTAGCGCGACTTGGGTTGCGAATGACCACAGTCACCAATTCTTGTCATGTGTCTGTGTATATATGTCTGATCTCAGAATTGTGTGTACTGACACTAATTTCCCTGTGGGATTAATAAAGTATCTTTGAATTTGAATTGAATTGAACTGAATCCAAAAACTTCACCTGAACTCAACAGGAATGGGATTATTGGCAACGCAATCTGAACACTCAGTCAACACAACACCTTCTTTATGCTCAACTTATTTTGCAAACACAGCTATGCAGCAACATCTAGGAAAAGAGAGGAGCTGTAATAAACTCCTCTCATCAGAGACTGAGCAAACTGTGAGACTAGAAAAATACTTTCTACACCACTAGCCTACATGCGGGAGGTAATTACTGCAGCTCCGTCTCATGTGCCATGTCGGCATCCCATTTAATCCTTTAATAGATTCATTATGCGACAGTTGGCTTTGCAGGGTTCAGAAAAATGCACGCTTTTCTCTTATTTAAGCAATTTTTCTGATTTAAAGTGTTTCATTTAATTCATCAAAACCGAATGGCACGTGCAAGTTTCTCCTTACAGAGAGCAACATAATGGTGCTGTTATGTCTCACGTCAAATTTTGTTATCATTCTAAATTTCCCTTTCTCAGATTTGTTGTTAATCAGTTTCAAAGTCCACCACTGCTATTGTTTACCTTCATAAATAAAGAAAAACAATCTGTCTTTTTTAAAAGTTGTAATTATGATATACCTCTTATTTTTACATGCTTGTTGTCAGTTAGGTGAGACTAGATGAAAAGGCACAAAGGAGAAAATTATTACATAGAAAACTTTGCCAGGGTTTCCCCCAGAAAATGAGTTAAGCCTGGCGGCTTCAGCCATGGGGGGGGGGGGGGGGGGGGGGGATTGGGTTGCGTGCTCCTCCGTGAGAGTGGGGGTGGGGTGGTTGCACACGTTCCACTGCTGTTTCTCACCAGTATCAGCTGATGGAGGGCTCTAGTTTCATTGTGCCGTTCGTGTTGTCGTGTCAGCGGACACGGTAGGGTCAGGGAGGGGGGCGGGGCATGATGCTTAGCCTGGCAGGTGGGCAAGCAAAGCCTGGCGGGCCACCAGGCTTATGACGCACTGGGGAAAACCCTGCTTTGCTATCAGAGTGGTGCCACCAACAGAAAACACTTCTAGTGAGAAGTCAGCGTCATTGTAACCATCCGTCATTGCTCTAGTAACCAAAAAATGAAAACTTAAGTTTCAAAAAAAGCTAAACTATTAAAAATAAAAAAACATCTCATTCTGAATGAAATTTAAAGTAAAAACAGGATGCAAACCAGATGCCAGCAATGACTTTGTCTCCAAGAAACCACGATCACAAATAATCATGCGATTATGCTTGACTAAATCTGTTAAGAAACAAGTCATTTACAGTGATTCATTAACTGTCTTCATTCTATAGTTTTGGTTAAATCATCAAAATTATATATTTTATACATGAACATGAGTAATTTTCACTTTCTGACTCATCTTTGTTACAACTGGTGTGTTTGTATGATGTAGAACTCTGGCGTAAGTAAGTATGAGGTAGGTGGGCCTTTTAATCCAGGCAGATATGGTTCTCCTAATCTGGATTTCCCCACACATGCTACATATGATCTCAGAGATACTGGTGTCCATTGGATTTTGTAGCTTTGGAAAGAGAAAATAAATAATAAAATAAAGATCTGTGTTAGTAACACAGGTGAGGATCAAACAAAGAGCAGTCCAAAGACCCCTCATGAAGAAATATATACATGGAAACAGTGTTCCCTTGCCCGGATGCAGGTCACCGGGCCCCCTCTAGAGCCAGGCCTGGAGGTGGGGCATGCTGGCGAGCACCTGGTGGCCAGGCTTTCACCCATGGAGCACGGTGGCTCTTGGCACGTGGAATGTCACCTCTCTGGTGGGGAAGGAGCCTGAGTTGGTGAGGTTGAGAGGTTCCGACTAGATCTAGTCAGACTCACTTGAATGCATGGCTCTGGCTCTGGAACTAGTTTCCTTGAGAGGGGTTGGACACTCTACCACTCTAGAGTTGCTCCCACTGTGAGACGCTGAGCAGCTGTGGGCAGACTAGTTGGCCTCCTTCTCTGCGCCTGTATGTTGGGGTTTACCCCAGTGAATGAGAAGGTAGCCTTCCTCCGCCTACGTGTGGGGCAGGGGTCGGCAAACCGCAGCTTCAGAGCAGCATGCAGCTCTTTCATCTACTTGATGCTGCTCTCTGTGCTTGTAAAAATAAAACCCGAGCATGGGAGGAGTTCAGTGGCACCATGGAGCAAGACTTCCATACGGCTTTGAGGAGATTCTGGTCCACCATCCGGCGTCTCAGGAGGGGAAAGCAGTGCACTACCAATATGGTTTATAGTGAGGATGGTGTACTGCTGACCTCGACTCAGGACATTGTGGATCATGGGTAGGGTATTTCGAAGACCTCCTCAGTCCCATCGACCCGTCTTCCAGTGAGGAAGCAGAGACAGAGGACTTTAGGTAGTATTTAAAGTGTGTTCCAACTACATAGGGATCACACTCCTGAGCCTCCCTGTCTATTCAGGGATTCTGGAGAGGAGGGGTTGTGGGATTGTCGAACCTCAGACTCAGAAGAAACAATGTGGTTTTCATCCTGGCCATGGAACACTGGACCAGCTCTATACCCTTGAGGAGATCCTGGAGGGTACTTGGGAGTTCGCCAAACACATCTAAATGTGTTTTGTGGATTTGGAGAAGGTGTTCGACCGTGTCCCTCAGGGGGCCCTTTGATACAGGCTGTTAGGTCCCTGTTTAACCGGTGTCAGAGCCTGGTCCGCATTACTGGTGGCAGTAAGTCAAGCTCATTTCCGGTGAGAGTTGGACTCCGCCAAGACTGCCCTTTATCACTGATTGTGTTTATAACTTTTATGAACAGGATTTCTAGGCGCACCCAAGTGGTCTCCTCTCAGTTGGATGCGCCCAGAAAATCTCACCAAGAAGGCGTCCAGGAGGCATCCTGACCAAATGCCCGAGTCACCTCAAATAGCTCCTCTTGATGTTGAGGCCAAGCTTCTCACCCTATCTCTAAAATCTCTGACACCCTGATCTTGTTCTTTTGGTCACTACCCAAAGCTGGTGACCATAGGTGAGGGTAGGAATGTATATTGAATGGTATAGAGCGCTTCGCCTTCCAGCTCAGCTCTTCACCATGACAGACCAGTACAACACCAGTGCCACTGCAGAAGCAGCAACAATCTGCCCTATTGATCCTTAGTTCCCTCACTGGTGAAAAAGACCCCAAGATACTTCAACTACACCACTTGGGGCAGGACCTCATCCCCAACCTGGAGAAGGCATTCCTTTTTTTCTAATTGAAGACCATGGTCTTGGATTTAGAGGAGTTGATTCTCATCCCAGCTGCTTCACACTCGGCTGCGAACCGCTCCAGCGAAGAGACGACGTTCTGATAAATCCAACAGAAGGACCCGAAACAGTACAAAAATTAAATTAAAAAAGGGAAGAAAATATACGATGGGTCTCTCGTCACCCTACACTAGAATAAATTATCCACCCAAAGTTGTTGTCAATGATTCACTTGAGTTAAATGGGAATATTTAGTCTGTATTCAGAATTACAAATTGTTGGCAATAAAGTTTCAATTGGATTTTTCCACAAAGATGTTTGATGAGAAGAGAAAAGTTCAATACTCTGTGCAGCTAAACTGCTGGATGCTGACACTTTAACCACCCTGAGTGTTATATTTTATTGGACAATTTAAAAAGCCATTGTCACAGTCATAGGACCAGTGTTCTGACTATCCGTGCCTCCTCGTCGAATTTTCCTACCAATGCGCATTTCAACAGCTGATTCAGTATGTCCAGGTTTACTGAATATCAGTAGCTACTGTTAATTTATTTTATGAAAAAAAAGTGGATAGTGTAAGAAGCAGTTTAGTCATTTTGTAAAAATTAACCCCTTAGTTACTAAAAACATTTGAATATTCTCAGAACAATGACGATTTACCAACTACTTTCACCCATGTCGAGAAAGTGATTCATAAAAATTGAGATTTGTAAGATGTTAGCTCTTACCGTTCTATTTCTCTACTTAATCCTTTATTAGACAAATTAATCCACATAGAACAAATATGCTTTTCCCCGAATACTTAGTTATTTGTTTGAATGTATAATTTTGGAGATTATTATACAACTATGATAAATTTATTATATGTATAATATAAAACTTTTGGATATTAATTTAGGACTCCTTCAAAATGACTGTAAACAATGGGAGAAATTTCTTATTTACAGTATAATAACGATATTTTAGAAGCCATTTACAAGCTAACTGTCAGGTAAACATACAGCAAGCAGTAATTTCATAAAACAACTTAAAGAAATACTTACTGTGACCTTCAATGAGTTGAAAGTAACTAGATAAGTGACGAGATTAAACCTAACCTTCCACAGGTAGCGTGTCTCGAATTGTAAACAGCCTGTGTTCGGCCTGCGCATGTGCATTTCCCCAAAGTAGCACTTTTCGACGGGGAGCACGGACAGTCGGAACACCGGCTTTAGTATTCGTGACACTAGAACTTAGCCTTTGCTGCAGAACACAACTAAAACATGCTGATAAAAATATTCCTGTTTATACAAAGAATGAATCACGAATGTGTTTCATTCGTAAATCTGTACTTGCTGTCATGTCCCCTGAGAACAATTAGATCTGTTTAAATACAGGAAAATGTCTATTTATAAATCAAAGCATTGTTTCAATCCACTCAGTGTGATAAAGAGCTACAGGTGGTGTTTAGTGGCAGTCAAGCTCCTAATAAACATTTTACGAGAAGGCGGGCTTCTCAGGAGCATTCTTGGTTTTGGAGGGTCAATGAAGGCGCAGTCATTAACGGGATCATTTGGGGAAGTAGATAAAAAATCAGCCTCAAGTAGAGTAATAACTGTGACACATTAAAGCTACTGCAGAAAACTCTAATTGCTGAGATTTTCTTTTCAGAACAGCGCAATAACGTCACACGAGGACATGTGAAACGACAAACTTGACATCAGTAATAACAGAAGTAAATACTGGAGGAAACAAACACATTTGGAGGTCAGTGAATGCTCCACATCCAAACCAGGAGGCCCTTTGGCTGTTTACCGTCTATTAAGGTGAAAACAAATTTACTCAATCTTAATCAAAAATCTTTCAGCTTCTCTCCGATAGTAAAAAATTTAATCTTTCATTTAAAAACAAACAGTGAACAGAAGGAAGGAGTGATAAAATGATCATCACCATTATTTCACTGCTGCTCTTTTATAAAAAGGCTTTTTATTCCAACAATTTTATCTAAAGCATCAGAATGAGCTTATGTCTCTAATGGGTCAGTGAGTTGTCCCACATGAGACTTGGCCGTGTGTCTCAACAGAGCAAATCATTTTACTGCCAACAATGAAGAAACCTATGGACCAAGTATGTTTGAAACTCAACATTTTCTCTACTCAGAAACCCCAAAACGGCTCAGTAAACCTAGATCAGAGTGCTTAAGAACCGGATGTGTTTCAGGTGAGGGTGAACTCTGCACAATTAGCTAAATTCTGCCACTTACTGCAAAAGAAAAATATTCTAATCATAATAATACACCTACACTAAAAAGTCAGTGAAAGACTTACTAGAGGTTTTCCAGTGTCTGCCTGTTAGGGGGGGTTTATGTCTGTTCTGAAGTACATTTCTGTGTGCTATACCTGGCGTTATTATTCTAACAATTCCACATTATAATTATTTACATGTAACTTTACGATTATTAACAAGTGTAAATATCACCAGCTGCAGCCAGACGTAGCACCTCTGGTGCACCCAGGAGTCGTTTGATGTGAATTTCTTAATTTTTCTGCCAGAATAATTGCATAACAAAAAAATATGGCAGGTTTGTAAATTTACTTTTGCACAACTTGCTGTGAAGTTTAGGAGACTGAAGCTGTTATTAAATAGGTAGAAATTCACTTTGGTTAGGTGCTGCATTTTGGGCTAGTTGTTAATGTGTCAACCGGAAGGATCTTAACTCTCTCTCCCAACAAACAATTCACAGAAATATATCTCAGATCAAAACTCCATTGACCACACTTTACTGTGAAGGCCAGAGGTACACCCACACAACTATACTAAATTATACCATACTATACTTATAAACGTAGGCTATGATAAAACACTAAAACTGTTTTATTATTAATTCAAGTTACACCAAATAGAATATTTAGAATATTTGCTTTAAAATATTACAGTAGAGCTTTAACATTGATCTCAGTGATTGCTGAGTTGAAACTTGACCAGTTCCATATATGACACCACTCTGCAGCCCTCTACTGGCCAGATATTGCAATTAACAGTGTTGTGTAGTGGCTGGATGCTCTTACGGGGCACTCTTTACCTGCTTTAAAGCTGTTAGCTTTTATGCTAACAGTTATCAGTCATCAATAAAAAGCACAAGAAGAAGAAAAACAAGTTTGCTTTTTCTGTTTGCATCATGGCGAAGACTGGAAGTAAAAGTAAGAGAATAATGTCTTGAAGCAAAAAGCTAAAAACTGGCGGGAGCATTGCTACGGCCCACACTAGTTTGAGGGAGCTAAAGGAGGCCACAAAATCGCAGACGGAGGGTGACCTGGCTTTCTTGCTCTTTTTACTTTTTCGTTTGTTTTAGTATTAGTTGGCTCATGTTAGTGTTAGCTCGGTGTTAGCCCTAGCTACAGCAGGCTGCTGCAGGGTTGTTTATGGAAGTTGTAATTCCACTTTCAACCAGTAGGGCGGAGGAGCAGGAAACTGAGTAAACTAATGTTAAAATAGTTGATGACAGAAATCTAGTTACTGTCCTTTCATTTAATCAATTAGCAAATTGTTATTTATATAAACAAAATTTTAAAAGCAATCAACTGAAGAGTAAAAGCTCGGCCTACACTATTTTGGGGTATTTTCTTCAAAAATAAACTTATTAAATGATTTACAATTTTGTAGTCAACTGCAACAGATCAACAGATGTTTTTTTTTTTTTTGTTACTACACTTAAACAAGAACTCAGTTTTTCACACCAATCAAAGACTTGGTAAAGTTTAAAAGCAGATTCAGTTAAAACACTCTTTGACCCAGACACATTTGATCCAGTGTGTTGATAATGATGTGTTTACAGCTGCTTGTATGATTTGTGCACCAACACTGTGTCCAGATGACCTGGGAAATAACACACACTGAGAAATCAATACCACTGGGAGGTCTCGTGAAGAACAGCGGGGAGAGAAACAGTGAGAAAAAATACATATGTCACATGATGGCTACTGACCAATGAGAATTGATGGGTAAAAGTCCCTCACACGTTAACGGTTTTTAAAACAACCTGCTAATTTGCTGATATTTCAGTTTTTTTATTTTTATTGCACAATACCTTGGTTAACAACAGCACTCGTCTCTGCAGTCGCCGGACAAGGGACTCCTGTGCTTCCCTTTTATTCTGTTCCTCCATAATTTTGCTGCTCTGCTGGGTCATTTCTGCCAGGAGCGTCGACTGTGAACGCTCCAGACTCCTCACACTGTCGGAGCAAGATAAATTAACAGTCAGGAAGTAATTGTGCATTAAAGAGACAAAGCAGTAAAAAAATGAAGCAGGGTTGATAAGGGCTGTATGTTCAGAGAATTTGAGAAAAGCAATTTAATGTCAATTTATAATAATACTCCCTAACAGACAACTTACCTGACTGACATCAAATCATTTTCAGACAAAGGGCCAAAAATGATTTACAGTCAAGCTCTGCGTCACGTCTGATCAATAGGACAATAATTACACCGAAGGGCAGTAATTACACCGAGCGGTCCCTTCAGTGCCCCCTCCCGCCTTCATCTCTTCACATTTTGATGTTTCTAAAAATTCTTAATGAGCCCTATCCAGTCAGCAGAAGAGAAATCCCCTAAAGGTTTCTTTGCTGGACTTGGCTGCAGCAGGAATAAGCCAGAGCGTGCACGCGGTCCTCCCTGCAGACCCCACCTCTGTCTAAACAGGACGAGTTTAATTAGTGAAATCCCTGTCTCACACACACACACACACTCACACACACACACACTCACACACACACACACACTCACACACACACACGTCTACTGTCAGGAGTGCTATCAGAGTCAGGACCAGTTTAATTAACTTTGTGACAATTAAGGACTTCTAAGAGATACGCTCTAATAGATACATGAGGGAGAGAAAGAGAATGGAGGATTTTGTGTATGAGTCAGACTGTGTGTGTGTGTGTGTGTGTGTGTGTGTGTGTGTGTGTGTGTGTGTGTGTGTGTGTGTGTGTGTGTGTGTGTGTGTGTGTGTGTGTGTGTGTGTGTGTGTGTTTTACCGGCTGCCGAGTGCGTAGTTCTGCTCTTTCAGAGTAATTTCTCTCTGCTGAATCTGAATCACCTCCCTGGACAGATCCTCTGGTTTCCTGCAGACAGAAGGGAAGCAGGGTAGTTAGCATACACACGTGCACACATCAACACAATTAGAAATGATCAATGAGACTGGGAAAAGCAGTATAAAGCACATGAAAACACGATCTTCCTTTGGGTGTTGGTGACAAGCTGAGAAATAAAATGACATAATCAGCAGCAGCAGAGATGAGGACGGGAGGTTAAACTCTGGTTTTATTCTATAAAACAAACTGTCGGTGGGAGAAATCGACACATAAACACACACAAACAACAATAGGAATAAAGACACGGACGATTCTTCTACACACGTGTGGAACAGCAGATCTGTTAGATATTAATGTTGCTAAACCGTTAACTGTTGTGAGATTTGCATAAGTTGGAGAGAGTGTGTTTGTTGACAACCTCGGGGTTTACAGCCACAGATTGTTTTTTCACTTTGATCTTCTGAAAAACAATATGGGATTTAATGTAAAAATAGATTAAATTAAATTCAAAGGCTTGAGGTCCCAATATTTTCACACACTTGCCACAAAACCTTTCACTGGAGACCATAAGCAGCATAAGACTTGACCTTTATGCTGCACTTTAATATGAGAACATGTTCTGAGGGATGTTATAAATTGAGTCCGTGTAAAAAAAAAGCTGAGCAATCAAATTTTACTTTAAGGTTGGAAAAAGAGGGAGGAGTGTCCACGCTACACCAAATTCGATCATCTCATTAATTATTACAAAATGTTACTTTCTAGGCAAACTGTCAATAGATTGAAACCTGTTGTGAAAAGTTTAAAAACTAATGAATTTTCAAATCTGGCCAAACCCAGTCCAGTCTTGGTTGGGTCAAACTGCCTCCGTGCGGAAAGGTTTTTGTTCACACCATGATGTCTGTGGTTCACACAGCCCTCTCAGGAACGCAGATGTCTCCGACCACATGGGCATGGTAAAATAAGTCTGTGTTGTCCTCCTTAAGTTAGTAAAAAAACAAAACAAAAAAAACCGCCAGGAGCAGTGTTGCTTTTGGAGACTCTTGACATGAAGCGCACAGCTTCCTACTTTCTCAGTGAGCAGCGGTTCTGCACAGCAGTCGGTCCTTGCACTGCCACAGCAGCCTAAGATGTTTACTCCAATGCATCCAGAATGATGCCACTGCTGGCTGGCTCTACCCACCAATCAGAGACTCCATCTAGTAGGTATGCGTGAACTTCAGCCGGCCAATCAGTCTACAGGGTGTGCTTGGTTGGCTGAGCACCAAGCTAACCACCGGAGAACAGGTCCACAAAAATGGTCAGCTGAATATGGAAATCAAACAGATTGCCCAGATGTGAAAGTGCCATAAGATACCAAGCCGCCACAATGCGGCTCAAAAATTGAGGCCAACCCGGAAGTACCAAAAATTGCAGTTCCACCCTCATCCACTGGGGGTTGGTGTCAGAAGCGAGCAAATCCTCATTGACTCCCATGTTAAAAATACCAATTTCACAGCAGAAATAAACATGTTTACAGCCTGGTACCAAAACATGTTTTTGGTTTAAATGATCTAGTTTACACTCATGACAACTCTGAGGGGGGTGAATTTTTTTCTCACTCTTCTGTTTAAGTGTATTAAAAGCCTAAAATTCTGTATAATTAATGAGCATCAGACCCACGTGACCACCACCTCAGACCCACGTGACCACAGGGCTAGCTCTGTGGAAAGGCCTCAGTAGAGCCTCGGTCTGGCCTGGAAACTGCTCAGGCATTTTGAGTCTGTGTTTGTGCATTCTTTTTTGGATATTATTTGTGCAATTGTTGGACAAAATGACTTGCTGTGGCATTAATTGCACTATTAGAGCGTCCAAGGAGTCTCCACTTCATTTTTTTCGGTAAGTAAAATTATACTTATGTATTTTAGGTCACTGCCGAGCTGAGCTTAGATTTTGACATGTACTGTTTAACCATGAAATTTAAATGTAATAGGGTAAAACCCAGTGCATTTAACATAATGCTGCACTTTAGAAAATGGGTTGAAATATAACATGTTGGTGGAGCTGGGTTCCGACTATCGGCTTGTGGAGCTCTCGGGAGACGGATGTTTTCCACCCATTTCTCCCCTCCCCACAGCTCGGCGCATCTCTGTCTGATGGTGGCTTCTGTCTGCTGCGCGGGCTGCCGGCTTGTGGAGCTCTGGGATGGAAACGTTTCCACCCGGTTCTCCCCAGCGGCAGCTCTGCGCATCTCAGATCGCAGCAGCGCTTGTCTGCTGCGAGGCTGCCGGCTTGTGGAGCTCTTGGAGACCTCTGTGTTCCACCCGGTTTTACCCAGCGGTCAGCCCGGCGTATCTCTGACTCAGAAGCTCTGGTGTTGTGCACAGTTAACTCCGGTTGTAGCTAGGTTGCTACCTCCGTTAGCTTAGCTCCCACCTCCGCATTAGCTTTGGGTTAGCTTCAGGTTAGCTTGTAGCTATTTTGACCGGGTGTCGTCAGTTTATCCCAGCCTTACAGCCCCACCCTCAGCTCCACCTCTCTTCCCTTTTGTGGAATTGTCTGGGCTTGACGGAACCTGTGACACGGTCAAAATGGTGGTGGTGGCCACCTCCCATTTGGCCTCAAAAACGTGTTATTGGAGCCTATGGAAATGAATTGTCCAGTATATATGTCGATGGAAGATACAAAGTTTACCTTAAATTAAGCCTTATCTTTTTTAGACCACACCTGGAAACTGTGGTTCACAAGCTTGGCAACTTTAGTTTGGTGGGCTGCGTAAAACATTTAAAGGGGACAAAGAATGCAATTTATTGACTCAGACCTGAGCTTCTCTGGACATATTAAGGCTATAACTAAATCAGCATTTTATCACTTTCATCAAATAGCTAGAGTCAGAGGTCTCAAGTCCAGACCAGACTTAGAGAAAATCATTCATGCTTTTATTTCTAGTCGGCTGGACTACTGCACGCCACGTTCCTACGTCGCATCCCATTGGAGAACAGCAGGGACGAGGCATCTAGTGTTTCTATACATATCTATGCCTCAGAGACTGGAGATTGCAGATTGGAGGAGGAAGGGCTCCACATTGTGACGTTTTCATGACAGGTTTCTCAGAAAATAAGTTTTTCTCTGGCATTTTTAAACTTTCTAATTTACATAAAAAGTAGGTCACACACGGCTTTCACTTTTTGCCTTGCTACTTTTGACCACCCAAGCTGTCCTTATTCACAAACAACAAGAAAATGTTGGTTTAGATTCTTTGTCCCCTTTAATAATCCAAAGAGAACTTCCCACAGTTCATGTTTTTTTCAGATGCATAACGTATTTTTTTCCCCTTCCTTTAAATCAAAACTTTGGAATTTGAAGTCATCTTTAAGAAAACTTTTTGTTACATACAAATTTTATGCTTCCTAAAATATTCATATGCCCACTGCACCAGCTCAGTCAGATAAAATTCAGAGGAAATGTTGTACGGGATAAAGGAGCAAAGTGACTCAAGTCATATTACCAACATGTGAAGTTACGGGAGTTAACATGTGAAACTGTAGTTTTTTTTTTTCCATCATCATTTTAATTCTATGGTGCTTTCAAGAATCAGAGGAAGACACAAGTGCTGCACACTGTTTCGTACAATCATAGAACTAAACCAGCAATTTAATAAATAAATATTTAAACAGTGTCGAGTTAAAAGCAACTAAATAAAACCATGATAAAACAAGATAAGCCAAATAAAACCATTTGACAATTCAAGTAAAATCATCAATTCACCTCTGAGGGGACTGTTTAAAGGTGTGGGTGACTGAAACCCCATATTTTAATTAGAGCTGAGGAAAATAATCAAATAATCGATGCATCTGGATGCGGACATAAACGATTCTGAATCGTAGAAAAGTACGCCATAATCGATTATAGTGGAATGTAGTTTTGTTTTTTTAATGGCGGCACCAGCGCACCATCCAAATCTGTCAGAGTGAGCGTCCTCCACATTTACCTCCGCCTTAATGTGGTACTGCAGGGCTGAGCGCTGGAGTTGTAACCTGAGACCAAACCGGAACCGAATCAGCCCGACCGGTTCTGTTGGATTTGGGCCGTGAATTATGTTAATTGAGCGGGTTGTCACGCGGCGCGCTCCGCTCGCTCGATCAGCGACAGAGAGAGAGAGAGACTGTTTGCTCACACAAGAGAGAGGATCGGAGGACGCTCCTCCAAACCGATGCTCCAAACACGCGTTATTATTTTCATAATTTAATTATTTCTCCTGGAAGCGCTCAGTCAGACCGAGTGTTGTGATGCTGGGAGATCCGGTCTTGGGGAGGGGGCGGGGTCAATGATGGCAGCTGCAGCGTGATCGTCTGTCTCTTTTATTTAGGGGCACAGAGAAGTTAAAAGGAGAGAGAAATAGAAGATAGAAGTTTTTGTTCCACTTTATTCTTTTGTTTCATGATGATAAACTGATGTTAAATTCAGCTTAAAGAGAAACTGGGAGGAAGCTTTGGTTCATTTTAAGTTACAGGAGGTCTTGTCTCCAATCTGCTCCTCCAGAGACAGCATGGACATGAGGGTAACATGGTGAGGGTCACACAGGACAGGTTAGTGGAAAGGTTTGTAGTTAGCTGGTTAGTGAAAGAGATCCATCAGCTGGGTAATTTAATCCTAATCCAGCCCACAGCCTTCTGCTGGTGTTATTATCAGGAAGAATAAAACACACATCTTAAATATTATTTGAAGTGTAGAATTTGTTTTATGTTTTATTATTTTCTGCATCAAACAGAACTTGATTCATTCTCCAACATTTCAGAAATGAACCACTGGTTTCAAATGAAATTAAGTCAAACATTTCATTTGGTGTTATTTCTGACACCCTTCAACTGTGGCATAAATATTTGACTCTAAAGCTGCTCAGAGACATTAAACACTCATATATGAACCCATTATGGATTTTATTATTACATTATGTGTCCTGTAGGTTTTCAGTACTTTTTTAGATTTTGTGAGTTTTTGCAAAGCGTGTTTTTCTCAGCCTGAGGCGTGGTGTTGAACGAGGAAACAGATTG